CGCTCGCCACTTTCTTTCTTTCTTTCTCTGGAAGTTCACGGAGTCCCCTCACCTCTCCCTGCGCCCGGTCTCCGAGCGCTCGAGAGGCTGAGCCCACGTCCTCGCCCCCGAGAGGCCTCCCCTCGTCACACCGGCCATCCGCCACCTCTCCGACCCCGGGGAAGACCGGGGCAGAGCGAGGGCAGAAAACGGTGCGGCTCACTGGAGACTTTCCCTTTACCCCGAGTGGAAGATACTTGTATCTTCAGTAACAGGATAATGATTCAATGCAACAAGTATTTATCAGGCGCCCACCGCGCGGGCACCCGGAGAGTGTGTGGCCGGGGCTCGGAAAGGGGAAGCGGGATCGGTGGTCGGGTCTAGGGGGCACCCGTACCCCAGAGCAGCGCCTTCCCCACCCCCTCTCCACTCCCGCCCCACCGCCCCACCGCCCGACCGAGGCCAGGTTGCAAGCCCGTCCCCGCGCAAAACCCGAGCGATTCAGACCCCCTGCGCCTTTAAGAGTGCCTGGCGGGGGGCCAGCGGGCACCCCGGCTGGGGGAGCGGGGTCGCGTTTTTAGCGTGATTCGCCGCCGAGGGTGAACTCGGGCACTTGGCGGCGGAGGTGGGGGCGGGGACCGTGGTCCCCGCGCTCTAATCCCGGGCGCGGAGAGCGCGCTGCGACCCGGAGCGGACGGAGTCTGACTTGTTCTTTGGAAACACTAGGGCCTCCGCGTTGGGAGAGCAGGCGGAGGACAGTTTGCGAACGCGTGTTTGTTTTAATTGTCAGTTGTATGTTAAAGTCGAGTCAGTGGAGTCGCACACCCAGAGGGTCACGGAGAGTTCACTTTTATGAAAAGTTAAACTTTTTTTCTTGCAGTATAACAACCTTTACTCTGAACGCCTTCAAAGTTTAGAGCCTATTTCCATTTTTCTTGATCGTTCTCATTTGCTGCTTTCCGGAGAATAAGTTTAGAATTGGAATTAAGATATTTTCTAAAAGCAAATCAGGAGGTGGAGTGGGTTCCAAAAGAAAAAGCCCTGCAGCCCCTAGGGGCTGTGTTTTCCCTTGCAATCACTATCTGCGCCCCCCTACCCCGCCACTTCTTTAAAGGACAGTTTTCTGTTGAGAAGTGATTTGGGCCTGCAGGGAGACTGCACCTCGAGCGGACACTGGCTGCGGGGCTAGCCCGAGGTGTGGTTTTGAGGTCGCCTCCACCAGGGAGTTTCAAGGGGTCAAATGCGGCTGGGGCACTCAGCGACCTAGGGTGGCTGTGTGCGTGTGTCCAGTGGGTACGGATCAGTACTCCTCAGGTCTTGAGCGCACCAGTCTTGGCCTTTCCCCTGCGTGTCTTTAAGGGAAGACCTTCCCCAGGAGGCCGACCCTGAGGCCCTTGTGGTCTCCTCGCGTCCCCAGGGCGCTCCGGTGCTCCAGAGGTTAGTGCTGTAGCGCAGAACTCCGAGCCGTACCGCAGCTTCCCTCCCTGCCGTGCGGTGCCGGCTGCCCCCTGTTGGCTGTTTGGAGGTAGGACGCCTCGGAGCTCCGAACCTCGGAGCAGCCGGCAGCTCTTCCCTCTCCCCTCTTTGCCCCTTCTCGAGCCTCTGGACCACCGAGCCGCCTCTCCTAGCGTTAGCCCCTCGGGGACCCCTAGAGGGCTAGTGCAGCATGCGGCCGCTGCAATTAGGAAGGGTCCGACCCAGCCAGCAGAAGGGTTCCGGCCCTAGCGGGGGGGATGCTATCTCGCTCTTGCAAGTAGGAGGGACAGTGTTCTCCAAGGAGGCCTCGGGTGTGGCTTCAGTTGGCTCCGTAGTTCTCTGTGGTCCCAGACAAGTGCTTTCCCTTCCTTGGTTTCTTACCTAGTGAAAAGTGGAGGTGAAACATTGCTAAACTTTGGAAATTGGGCTGATCTTTGATTTTCTTTCTTCCTCCACGGACTTTGCTCACCTCTGGACAGAGTTGAGCTTGCAGAGGATTAGACCGCCCTTGTGATCAAGTGTAAGTGGTGTGTGTGTGTGTGTGTGTGTGTGTGTGTGTGTGTGTGTGTGTGTGTGAAGGGAAGGGAGCAGGGATAGGAGGGCCGCATAGATCACGCTTTCCACCGATCCTCGCTGTTCCTGGAACCGCGACTCTTCTGAGGCCCAGGCATCAGAAGCTGGTCGTGTACCCTGC